ATATATATATATATATATATGCGTTTATGTATATGCCACACCAGATCTCCCTGCTTTATGTTTATGTATTTAGCAGATGCTTTTGTCCAAAGCGACTTACAAGTGTTATTAACACATAACTCCAACATCAGACTGATAAGTATGAGATAGAAGCAGCAACAAAGTTAGATGTTCCTCATAAACCTGCTCAATCCAAGCAGGTATTCCTTTCTTTTATGGCGATGTTTGACAGTTTCGATCCTCTGCATTGTGGTGGCGTGATGGTCTGAGGTGCCGAGCTTTGGTTGCTGCTTCTGTGTCGTCACCTCTTCTCCAAAAACAACCCGTTTCCAGACTGCTAAATATTCTCAATTTGTTCTCCCACTTGTTTGCTCATTACTCTCGGCAAAAGAAGCTCCCAGATTGATGTCCTTAATATTGTCTACTCTGGCGACACAAGCGACCGGGGTCCCTCTAATGGTTAGCTTCAGAGAACCATTCGCTATGCCCCAGAGAGAAGCAGACATCTAAGTATCAGATTTTTCTTGTGCAAAACGAAGTGCTCCAATTTGAATGCCCTCCTCAGACGTATTGTTTAAATAGAGTAAGGGGCAATGATGGCATTGAAACTGAGTAAGCTGAGGGAGATTTCTTTAATTAAGCAATGCCCTGCATTATACTTAATTATATACTATTATCTCAAATTAAGACTGGCTTTAGTTACTTTTGTGTCAGTCTGTTACTCACTGTCGTGCCATAGCTCGACTTTTCCGATTGGAAGCAAAACACAACATCTGCCAACAACATCTGCCTTCAGAGCTCCGTGCACTTCACCTGTCATCTACCGAAAGCCAGATCTGCTAGCTCCCTGCATCCCACACAACCTTCAACAGCACACGAACTGAAGTCCGGATGAAGAAGTAAACAGCACTGAGAAATAAAGACCCTTCTTTGTGAAAGTAGTTTTCTCCTCTCCCTCTCCTGTCCTCCACATGGGAGAGATATTAGGCGTTTGTGTTTTAAGGAGCTGTGAAATACATAAACCATGAGCCACAGGAATGCGAGGCCCTGTGGATATGCAGATGGGCTTACTTTGCTGGTGTCAGGGATGCTTAGAGGGAGCAGACGCAGGAGCAGTTCTCATCTAAAGGATTTTCTTAGGAGTGCAGAGGGACGGGGTGGTGGCGGCGGAGAACACTCGGGAGACTCGGGAAAAACAGAGTGGGAGGAGGGAGAGACGAGGATAGAGAGTGAGCTGACAGTCCCCCGTGGCCCTGTAACTATATCCAGAGTCTGCTCGGTGCTCGGAGAGGGGTGGGGGCCCACGCAGGGCTGTGCTGATTGGACGACCCTGAAGATGGGCTGGGGGAGCAACAGGAAGTGACCTCAGCCCAATGAGGCAGCTATAGGGGTGACAAAGCTGACTTCCTCCCCTGGCTCTCGCTAAGAAGCAGGCTGCCAGCCTGATTCAGCTCCTGAGGCTCTACTGAAGACTAGCCCAACCATTAAAACCTGCGATAAAGGATTAAACTAACCACAACCTACTCTCTTTCTCAACGTTTTACTTCTATAAACATAGAACTAGTAGAAGTGTGACACTAAATTATAAAAATAGCAATAAACATAAGCTTCCAATTGTATTTTTGTCTCCTACATTCATCCCTGTTGTCATAAAATGATAAATTAAATAGCTGAGACATTTTTAACATTTGCTCATTTGGATAGAAGCCAAAATAACTTATGAGGAAAAATCCTTCATGGTCCCTTGTTTTCCCTTATCTAATTCTAAGTAGTGTACTTAGTTTGGCATAAACGTTTCTGCTTTATAATGACCTTGACATAGGGTCAAAAGATGCAAGAAAAAAATTAAACGATAGAATTAAGCATCTACATCAAGTTCAACTACTGTTGTTTTTTTTTTTTTACATTGGCTTTGACCATTAAAGCCAGGCCAACATGTGCAAGCAGTTAAATTAAAGGTAGAATAGGTAAGATTTTACTGTGAAATAATCACTAAACAGTCTAATGACTCAATCATGTTGCATTGCATTGTTCAGATTTCCTTCTCAGCTGGATGGGCGGTTGTTAGTGTTTTTCTTTTCAAAAATAGCCAAGGAGGTGCTTTGTACCTGTTTACGTTCTGTGAGCATGCAGGGTTATCGTGTCTGCACCGGCTAATGCCGCTGCGTCTGCGTTTGTAATTAGACACCGGCCGGCAAAAAGCTCCAGAGTTGTGGACAGTATAGTTGGCAGTAAACAGAGGCTTAGGAAAGCTATTTATAGCTTCTCGGCTTAGGAAAGCTATTTATAGCTTCCCTAAGACGCCTCGGCATCCTTTTTGTTTTACTCCAACATCAGGTGAAGAAGGCTAGCAGCTAACGTTGAGCTAACACTGGTGAGAAAGCCACTTTTTGTTTAGAAAATGGACTGTAGTACCCAAATTTAATCACTGGATGTCATCCTTATTTCATTCTCACATCATGCTCCTTTAAAAGCATCATTAGGTTGACTAAAATTAAAAATAATAAAACACATGCTTTGTTTTTTTGAATGTGAAACAATCTGACTTTATGTCTCCCATTTTTTACTGATGCACCTGCTTACAGACCAACACACACGCACATCTACTCATGCAAGGTCAGTCAGGCAGGTGCAGAGTTATCTGCATAATGAAGCAGACCAGGTCTCCAAAGGGACAACATGGGGCACTAGGGTCAAATGGGGGCTGCACATATGGCAGAGAAGCAGATCTGTGGCTGCTGCAGGTAGCCTGACCTCAGTGTACACCCTTTTGCAGATAAGCAAACTGAACGGACATCAAAGAGAAAAGTGATCATCTTGCATGGCTGGGTGGTTGCAGTCATGCTGCCTCTCCTCCCCCTCTTTCCCTGATACCTGGTGCCACACTCAGATGCACATGTAGGGTAAAGAGTAGCTCATCTGTCAAATACACGACTGCAGAACACAACACCTCCTCGCTCCATTTCAACCTATGCTGACCTGCTTTGATTGGCTTTTACCGAGCGGTCATGCAGAAACATAATCTCTGAGCTGTGATGGTGTGTCACTAATGATTTACTTTTATGCAGAAAATGCTCATATGAAATATAATCTTGCCATAGGTTTATATTTCTTTGGAAAAGATTAAAAGGGAAAAAATAGGTGAATGTTAAATAAACCAAGAAACTGTTTTTACTTTTGAATTTTAAAAAACGATTAATCACTATGAGCTTAACATGCATGCTAAATGTAAAAATAGTCTTCTACCCCATTTCTTGCATTAGTCACCGATAGAAAGTAGAGTGGGAAATGCTCGAACTAGAAAACCCAGTCACAAGCAGCATTCATGGACTTACCCATCTTGACTTGCAACAGGGAAGGCTGTTATTGATTTCACCTTCTGGAGAGAGCAGAGCACATCTCAGCGAGTAGAAGCTAACCATTAGCATTAGCAACTCCACTACATGGCAGAACTCCTTCATGCTTGTGTTATTTGTGGAGATTAAACATTAATGTTGCAAAGCAAACAGAGCCAGTGGTAGAGTTCTGTTGCTGTTATCCAATCAGAGGTCAGATGTCCAAATGTCAGGAAATAAGACTCCAAATCCTGCCGTCTTCTGCTCACCTCTGCTCTGGCTCTAGTTCCTGAAACAGGAAGATGAAAGCTTTTATTCCCAAAGAAATTGACTCATAAGACATTCATTTATACTAGAGACCACACCAAACGTGTTAAAAAACAAAGTGAACTTGGTCTTTAAGGCAAGAAGTTCACTTCCACAGTTTCTTTTGATGCTGTAGGAAATGTTTCAGTTCCCTTTATTTCCTGGAGTATGAGAGTATTAGAACTGAGTTCCAGTTGTCACTAATACTCAACATCAATTTGTAGGTGGAGAAACTGAGACACTTCCTTATTCCTTATCCTCTGGGATTAATAAAGTATTTTTGAATTGAATTGAATTGAATTTACCACCACCAGCAAAAAATAAATAAATAATAAGTATAAAGAAAAAATTCTGTTTTTTGGGTTATAGTAAGATTTCAAACAGCAGTAAGATGTGTTTTTTATTTTTTATAAAATTAGGAAGTTATGTGAAATTTCTCTAAAATGTAAAAAATCAAAAGTTTTAACGGCAACACTACTTTTTTTCTGTTTTCCACTGATTTGTTTTGTCACATTTGCCCTGAGGCACCACCTGCAATAAACCATCTTCTTGGACTGGGACATGCACAGCTGTTAAGCTAAATTGTGTGTACATGCTTCTGGTACCCAGGGCCTTTGTGGTGGGTACTGGGCTGTGGAGACCTGGGGATAAACCCTGGATGAGTCCCTGAGGTAGCCACCCCTCCCCCAGACCCGCTGTCAGGCTTGCCAAGAGTTTGATAGCTCACAGTCTGGCCTTGTGGCAGAGTGTAAACGCCTTTTATTGACACGCTGGAGATGGGCACTCTTCTAAAAGTCTTAAGTCAGCAACTTTACTGTGCTGCAAAAAAGAGTGCGGGCCTACAGTTGTGACACTTATTTAAGTTATCAATAGCCATGACTGCCAGTAAACTATAATCTGCCTAATTTTTTGAGCTTGTTTGTGCTGATGAGTAGCATACAGTGAAGGGGTGAGAACAGGGATCCTTTTTCATCAATTACTTAAAGATCATTATTTGTTTTTTTTATCCATTTTGACTCTACATGGTGCAGATGACATTCCTCTATCATTTCAGCTTGTTTAAATGGTATTTAAAGTTGCAAATTCAAAAACAAGTTCATCAGAAATATGCAGTTCACCAGTTAGGACCCCAGCTGGTCATCCAGTGTATGCCTGATGTGAGCAGATCACACATATTGTGTCCTGTCAGACTCATGAAAATCACAGACAGGAGTCTTTGTCACTAATTTGTTGATTTTGATGTGAAGAAAAGGGGGAAGGAAAAAAGGAGGCTGAGACCTTTGCTGCTCCTTGACCGTTCACGCTCTGTTTCTTTTTCCTCTCATGGTTTTCTGTGTGTTTGTTGTTTCTCCTCCACAGAGGAAGGACTGAACCATGAATGCAAGCTCTGTAGCCAGTCGTTCGACTCACCAGCAAAGCTCCAATGCCACCTGATTGAGCACAGCTTCGAGGGCATGGGGGGAACCTTCAAGTGTCCCGTCTGCTTCACAGGTTCGTGCGGCTCATTTTCAATTTGTAATCCACCAAAAAAAGAAGAAAACGCTTTAGAAACATTTACGTTTTCAACACACTCGTCTGCTTTGAGTTTGAAAAGGCAGATGGCTTCTAAATGAGTTTGGAAAGGTCAAGAAAGAGCCAGCTAAAGCTGATAGCGCTTTGCTGCATGTGGCTTTTTTGTTTCGTTAAATTGCCTCCAAATCAAGGCCAAAGGAGTGTCGCGAGGTGTTGGGGGGGGGGGGTAGCGGGAGGAGAGAGAGCAGGGTGGGGAGACGGTGTGAGCTGAGGGGAGATGGGGGATGGAGGATTGTGGAGAGAAAAGGAGATGTGCTAATTGTGGATGGCAGTGGTGCTGATAGCTGTAATGATCTCATCTGTCTCTGTGCGTGGAGGTGGAAGGACCGGACTCCTCCTGAGAGAATAGCGCCCTCCTTCAGTGTCAACAGGGTTAACTATCTCTATAATGAAATCTGCAAAGTCGTTAACTTCAGCTCTTCACTCTTTCTCCCTCCTCAGCTCTTTACTCTTCCTAACACTTTTTGGGTCCAGCTCATTTCCCGCTCGAACTTCCTGCGTGCACACACACACACACACACACACACACACACACACACACACACACACACACACACACACACACACACACACACACACACACACACACACACACACACACCAACTCATCCAGCCCTTTCAATAAAAAAATCGAATGTCTCTCTCTCTCTCTGCTTGTTACATCAATTAACATCATTAGTTCAAATTTTTGCATTGTGTTCATTTTTTCCTTCTCTTCATCCACCTCAGTTCACATCTCTGTCTTCATCTCTCCCCCCCCCCCCCCCCCCCCCCCCCCCCCCCCCCCCTCCTACATTACTGTTTTGGCTTTATCTCTCTTTTAGAAGAGGCCTATTGATATTTTCCCCCCACCGGAGCCTCCTTTCCCTCACAGGGGTGGGGGCATTTAATATACAGAGCATGCCTCCTTCAACTGAGCTTTCATTTTCCACCGCTGTCTTTGACAGACAAGTCGTCCACCCCCCCCCCCCCCCCCCCACTCCCTCTGCGTCCATATCGATCACGGCGCATGAGAGAGAGAGGGATGCTGGGAGGGAGATGGGGAGGTAGACGGAGCGCACCCTCAGGACAGCGGTCGCAGAGGCAGACAGACAGATGGGCGAAGGCCTGTGGTAGTGGAAAGACAGGTGGTGGTGGCGGAGAGGAGAGGACGGACCAAAAGGCCTCCCTCTGTTGGGGATGCAGGGGACACGCAGCCTGATCTGAAGTCTGCGTGCTTGGAGGAAACTGAGTAATTGAGAGATTGGCTGACAGCTGTCCTCGAATACAATTCTTTAAGCTGAGTCTGAAATACAGAACAGAGAAGACTTTAAATTCAGCTAATTTAACACACATTTACTGTTTATTTTGTGATGTGACCGGTTAGATTTAGTTTTCATTTTTATTTTTAAGACATGCACATTTGTAGTCAAAGCTCTTGAAAAAGTGATTAATTCAAACATCATATCTATCTAGAGGGTAGGACGTCATGACAGGTTATGATGTTCAATTGTTACATTTCTTTAAGCAGAAAACATTTAAAATATCAAGAATGTCACAAAAATATGCGTTGCAATTTAAGTGTATTTGGTATTAAATATTGATTGGCTCTCAAAGCCCCGTTTGGCCCATTTAGGCCATAATTCATCTGAATTTTGATGTGTTTCAGCTTTTGTGTCTTTTAAAACTGAAAAACTGAAAACCATATTTAGAAAATATTTTCCCACAAAATAACTGAAGATGTGTTGTAAACACCTTCAGCTGGAAGTAGCCATAAGTGAAACATATTTACTCACATTTGAAGAAAATTTGATGTTAAATTACAGGGAAGTAAATAAAAAATCTCATAATGCTACCTAATGAGGGTTAAACTAGTCTCAGTAATGCTTTTTATATTATTTGTATTTTACATTTTGGCAATAATCCATATAAAATGTAATGAAAATCAAAATACGCAATGTAATGTTTCTCAATGAAAGTTGAGTTCTGAAATAGAAGAAAAAGTACTTTTAAACACAAAAATCTAAATTTTCTTTCAGCAGGCAGTTATACATGTCCGTTTAAGTCTCCGTGCACTGTGTGTGTGTGTGTGTGTGTGGGGGGGGGGGGGGGGGGGGGGGGGTCATCATTTTTACTGATTTAAAGGATGTCTTTTATAAACGTAATGAGTCTGAACACAGAAGCAGGACTTTGATCCGACTAGGTGGTGCCAGGGCAGACGAGTTTCCTCATTTAACAAGATTACTCTTTGTTTTAAAAGTCCATTCCCCCTCACTGCACATGTTTTAGTTTGATCTGCCCCCTCGTGACCTAAAACTCAGTGGGAGGCCGAAAGTGACTGTCATTCATTTACACACCTGATTATCTTCAATCTACGCTCAGGGGGAATGGCGAGAAGACAGATCATCCTGCCCAAAAAAAAAAAAAAAATACTAGAGGAAAAGTGTGGGGAGGGAAAAAGTAAGTTACAAGCAGTAGGTGAGGACAGACGAAATAGAGGAGAAAAGGAGACAAAACTTAAAGGAAGCTGAGAAGGTTGCAACTGGCAAGTTTGGATGTGAGATGAAAGGAGGGAAGTGGAGGAGGAAAAGAGAGCTGTGTAGGGGAGGGAGGGTAAATGGAGAGAGGTCCATAAGCCCCTGGATGATGAGAGAAAGGCTGACTCTCCCAGGACAGATTTGACAGGTTTCAGAAGTGGGGGAGCCTGCAGCTAGAAGTGTCTGCCTGCACCCTTAGGAGCTGTAGGGAGGGCTGGTGTGGAAATTGTGATTGGGAATATGTGCTTAAGACAAACAAAACAGAAGAAAGTGTGTCTGATGAAAGTCCTGCGTGTGTCTGTGTATGAATGTGTGTGTGCACTGTTTTTTTTAGCTCATGTCATCGCACGAGGAACAAACTTAAGAAACTACAGGATGCACGGCTTTCAAATCCGCACGAGTCTGACAGATCCAGTCATTTAATTAGCTCATTGTTTAGATTCTGTTTGTATCTGATGTTCAGACTTGTGACAACGTTACACGTGACGATAAAAACAGATCAGACGAGCTAAATTTTTCCATTAAATTAGGAGCTGTTAGCTTTCGGCCCTTAAACAAACTCGCACGGCCAATGTGTTTGTTTTGCCTCAGAACAGTGAGGCTGCGAACTCTCAGATTAAGTGAATCGGAGTGAACACATGTAGGCTAGGCCGATAAATAAATGAAAAGGAGGAAGGGGGAGAAAAAGGATAAACTTATTTTTCCTCTCTGCACAAACAGCTTAGTATTGGTGCAGTGCAGCCTGCAGAGAGCACCACCCTGCCGAAATAAAGATGAGCTGGGGCCTGTAGTAAAGGAGACGTCTGCCACGGGCGGCCCCTGAGATCTAATCAGAGGCCTTAATATCCCCCACAGCGAGGAGACCTTGGCCCCTCAGCCCCCTCAGCCCTGACACCCCCCAATGCCCAGCCAGAATCCGCTCTCCGCTCAGCTCCGGCTCTGCGGCCAACAAATTCCTCAAAGTTTTCCTCTTTCTCCCTCCCCTCCTCCTCCCCACTCTCTCAGCAGGGAGGGACATGATGGCTGCTGATCCTGTTTGGATGTGGTTTTGGATTAGTCCGTCTCCTTTTCTCTATGTCCTCATTTTAACCGTCCAGGAAGACATGCCTCTGTTCCTCCTCTGAATGGCCAATGCAGTTGCATATTTTATATGTGACTCTTGCTGCCAAATGCCAATACAAAGTCCCCCGGTCCATCCTTGCTTATCCTGTTATTGCACGTTTCACGCTAATTTGCAAAACAACCATGAAGATAATAGAATGTAAAGGCTCTGCAATTAATTAAAAGCTCACCGCTCGGTTTAATCATCTTCAGCAGGCGTGAAGTCAACCCAAACCCTTAAAGAGCAGGTTCACTGAGAAACCATTTTTACTTAAAGCAGTGGTTCGCCTGTTTCATGGATACATTTGCAGTAGTCTTTTGTGGGAATGAATGCTTTGTAAATCGTTCTCGGGGGAATCAAATTGGAGCTTCATTTCCAGAAACTAGTAGTGACCCACATCACAGCTGAGCTTCAGACCTGATTTCCTGATATTTGGACCTCTCGCCTCAGATTGACAACATGACTCTACCACTTACTTGCAATGTTGATGTTTTATCTCCACAAATAACACAAACTTGGAAGAGCTTCTGCCATGTGGTGATGCTGCTAATGCTAATCGTTAGCTTTTACTAGTCGAGACAATCTCCTCTGTTTCCTGGACGCTAAACCAAAAGCAGCCTTCCTCGCCGTGAGTCAAGATGGGTGAATCCATGAAAATTGAGTGACAGTGTGACGTAGATCTGTCAGGATTTTCAGATCCTAGAGTTTCACCATCTGTTTTCTATCAGAAGCTAATGCAGGAGATAGGTGTAGGAGACTAATTTCATCTTCTGCCTGCATGAAAAACTCAGTGACCGATTATAATCAGAAATAATCATTAAAAAGGGTATGCCATCAGTGTTTGACACCTTTATTTTTTATTATACAATCACTCACTGAGTTTGTAATGCAGGTGGAATGTAAAAAAAAGATCATCTACCCCTATTTTCTGCATTAGCTTCTGATAGAAAATAGGTGGGAAAAATGTTGAGTTCAGAAAAGCCTGGCAGATCTACATCACACTGTCACTTAACTTAAAGAGGACTTACCCATCTTGACTCAACCAGGGAAGGCTGTTACTGGTTTAGCATCCAGGACACAGCTAATAGAAGCTAAATGTTAGCATTAACAACTCCACCATATGGCAGAACTCCTTCAGGCTTGTTATTTGTGGATGGGTAAAACATCAACATTGCAGAGCAAACATGATCAATGGTAAAGTTGTGTTGCTGTTATCCAGTCAGAGGAGAAATGTCCAAATATAGAGAAATAAGACTCCAAATTCTGCCGTCTGAAGCTACTTTCTCCTCCAGCTCAAATAGTTGTCCTCAAACGAGGCGCAACAGATCTTTTTTCCCTAGAATACAACTTACAAGTCATTCAGTCCTTCTAGAGACCACTGCAAATTTATAGAAAATATGAGTACATATGACCCTTTAGGAAGCAAAATAACTGACCTCTCTAATCGAGATGTGCTTAAATCTTCTCCAATATTTATTGGTCCTACAGAAAACTCAAAGGCGCCATTAAATCAGCTGTCACTCTCTTGCATTGCAACAAGCTATAAGTGATAAATGCATGGCTAATTAAATGTACCAGTGATTGGAGCAGAACAGCAAGTAGCAGCTAACTTGACATCTCAGTTATGTTTGGCCCTATTGTACAGTATTTGAAGGCCCCCCAAGTCTCAGATCCATTTTTATTTTTGCTGTATTGACTTTTTCTGCTTCCAGTCAAAGACATAATGAAGGCTTCCTGCAGCTGCAGGACCTGCTTCTGTACAGTATATGCAGACAAAACACCGTTGAAGGAAAGGGCCATTGTTTATCTGCACATTTCTGCTTTCAGAGCGCGTGTTCCCCGTGAAGAAAATTGTCGCCGTTTTGGGATCGTAACGGAGACACAAACCCATATGCTGACCCAGGTCCTAACCTGGAAAAGTGTTCCTTCACTGAGCATAAAAGAGCGTGATTATGTTTATCCCTCAGATCGTTGCAGTCGTTTGTCTCAAAAATGGACTTGTTGTTTGCACATTAAACGAGGTTTCTTCATTTCTGGTTAACATTGCTGCCATGTTCCAGAGACAGCTGTCACCCAGGCATTAGCAGTCTGACAGCACACCCCCCCAGCGTGCCTGCTATGGATCTAAACTTTTATTTCCCAGGTCAGCAGTGTGACATTCAGTGGAGCTGAATGTTTCTTGACTCTACACAGCTCAATAATTAATAATCGCCCTCCCAGGTGAGCTCAGATTGGAACGTGCAAAAGTTGCGGCGCCGCAGCCACCCTACAGCCTTCAAAGGCATCCCCCCTCACCTTTTTGTAGCTACGCTTTTCTTCTCCCATCGCCTCCGTGGCCCTCAGCGCCCGCATTAGAAGAAAAGTTATTTTGAGCCGTAAGAAATTCAAATGAAGCCCCCCGCACGCTAACTTTTTTTCCAGAGCATCCAGACCTTTGAGATTAGACAGCCATCCTTAAAGCACAGGGGTCTGGGATAACAAACGGAATGTTTGAAGTGCTCCTCGGAGAGCGCTCCAACACAGACGTGCACACATGACACTCAGGATGCACACAATTGCATCCCACTTAGCTGTTTCAGTGTGGACTATGACTTAATTAAAGCACAAACGTATGGTATGTGTTTCAGGCTCCAGCGGGTTGTGTGTTTATATGATGGCGAGTGGAAACTGCATAAATAAGTAGTGCAGCAACCATGAATATTTATATTGTCAATATAATTAGCAATGTAGACTAATGGAGGCCATGTTTTGCACTTGAATCCACGCCAGTTTTTGCTGTTGTTTATTTCCTGGCTTGTTGTCCCCACTGCAGCACTAAATAAAGAGTGTGATTATTCCCAAAACTAACTCTAGTGCCACAAGCACGACCGTTCTAGTTGCTGTTAATATCTAAATTGTTCCATTTTTATATATCTCTCTCATAATAAGGCCACTTTGTGCATAGAGAGGGCTGCCATTTGCTGCTAATTGAGTCATTCTTGTTTCCATTTGACAAAATTAATAATCACTTTTTTATTCAGGTAATAAAATCCTATTAAACTATTGTGTTGCTTTTTTCTCTTCCCTATTGAACAGTGTTCGTCCAGGCCAACAAGCTCCAGCAGCACATTTTCTCCGCCCACGGACAGGAGGATAAAATCTACGATTGCTCACAGTGCCCACAGAAGTTCTTCTTCCAAACAGAGTTACAGGTGAGCCTCAACGAGAGCCGCGTACCGCACACGCGACAGTCCAACAAACACACAAACCGCCCCTCATCGCTCTCTGGCTATCCCCTTCCAGCCTGGCTGAGATGAGCGACTCAGAAGGAATTATTTCAGCCTGTTTCAGAAACTCATTTGTGATGTGCAAGATATGATTTGATTTGCTTATTAGACCGGCAGAGCACTAAAATATCTGGAATTAGAGGATTAGCGGAATGCTCATTTTTGAAGAGGTAATTACATGCAGTGCAGAGGCAAAAACACAGCAGAGTCAATACGCCTGCATCTCCTCTCCTAATCACAGAGGAGGCCTCGTGGCTAAATATGAGCTCTGTCCTCCGGGAGTCCATATCTGCCCTTCAACAAAGTTAGTAGTTGGACTTATGAACTCGCAGTGTTAGAGAGATAATCCATTTTCTAGCAATCTTTTTCGCTCTGGTCCTTGGAGAAGCAGAAAAAATGAAACAGGCCGTATTATATTATTTCACTGTGGTGGTGCTTTCAAGCAGCTCTGTTTTGTTTGGGGGATTCTCCGTCGTACACACGGTGCGCTCCTCATATCCAGATCCTTTTCTATTACCTTTCGAAACTGAATTAGAAAAATAAAATACGAGTCGCGTTATATCGCGGCGTTCAACCCCATCGCTTAAGCAAGTTTTAATTTCACGTTAATGTGCTGAAGGTAGCAAACGTGGATCTTGGCTGAGCTGTGTACGTACTAGCTGGTAGCCAGAGGAAGTACCCATTGATCAGCAATGATTTTCATATTGAGATTCAGGTTGTAAACACCAAGGTGTGTGTCTGCCAGGAGGAAGGTGAGTGTGATGCTGACTTGAATAAAACAAGTCCTGATCTACAAGCACGCCACTCTGCTGCAGAGAAGATTATATAAAAAAAAAAGGCTCAACGACTTACTGGTAAAAACCGCCGCCGACGAGGCCTTTCATTCATGCCAAGCTCCTTTTTTTTGTCACGCTTTAATTTCTCATCGGTACAAGTGTTTTCTTTACAGCAATGGTTGCAGGAGGTACCTGTAAACAATCTCAAATAACCTGGGGATGTTTTCCTACTTCTTTACTTTTTTATATGTTTGACATTTTCTGGAATGAAGTGATCTCCGCCTCCCGGAGGTGATGTTTCATGCATGATTATATTGTTTTACTGTGTGTGAAGAGAAGAGCGCGGAACATGAAAGACCTATGGCACTCTGTTGTGAAACAGGGTGTCATGAAAGGAGAGCAAGAACGAGCTCGGGGGATGAGACGATCATTATCCTCAACCTGCTCTAAAAGCAGTCCCAGGGGTGTACACGGCATGCTCTCAAACATGTATGTTGTAAGCGTGCATGTACCTTTTTTTTTTCAGAAATGCTGAGTTAGCAGGCCGTTTGTTAGTATTAGTCATGCTGAATCCATGGATCATGAAGACGGTGCAGGTTTCTGGCTTGTTTTTAGTGGTGGTTTGTTTGTGGCTGCCATTTCCCAAACACAGCAACTCTTCAAAATGTCTCCCTGACACGGGGCACTGCTTTGGCAGACTGTCTGAACAGGAACTGTATTCCAGCAGAGAGAGAGCTCCTCCTCCTCTTGAGTTTGGAGTTTCTCCCTGATTCTTTCCGACTCCGGCTCACTCGACGGAATCCTGGACTCCTCTTGTCTCGCAGTAGTCGGAGAGGTCAGAGGGCCGGAGCAAGCTGGGAGAAGGAGCAGCGAGAGGGAGAGCATGCCACGGCAGGTAAAGGGAAGCAAGGAAGATATTTTATTAATTTGCTGCTGAGATCCTGAATCGGACCAAAGGCTGTGACAGGTATCCACCGCATCCTCCTCCACCGCCTCCCCCCGTGAACTCTACCCTGCGAGGGCTAGCCAATTTTCGCCAGCCTGTCGAGATGGATGATGGGAGAGCATCCGTCTAATCAGCCCTCCCAGGACCCCCCGCCCAGCCACCCCCCTCAGACCGTCCAGATTGACTGACTCCTGGGCCTGCATGCCCCAGAATCCAGATTCCAGTGGAGAATCATCTCTTGTGCTCTCCTTCCCTTTTTCATCCAATTCTCTGTTTCTACTCTTCTTTTTTTTTTTTTTACTCAGACAAAAAATAGGGAATAAAATGCATGGACAACTGTTCCCCTCGGAAAATCTCCAGAGAACTCCCCTGTGCTGTCACACACACCCGGCCCTTTCTCCCTTTCCCTCACACTATTAAAATATGGAGCAAAGTGTGGATATTTCACGAGGTGCTGGTGCAGAGGCCAACTGGACTCGTTCCCTCTTTCTAACCCTTGATTACTGTCCTCCCCAGGAGCAACCAGCACCTCTAGCTTCACTGCGTCGCCCAAATGAAACTCTAAACATCATCTTTTTGTTGCTGCTGTTCCCTCCAAAAACACGAAAAAGTCCTGAAGGTTTCCAGTAAAGTGAAGCTTCTTCTTTTTTACCCCGCAAGGAAGAACTTGCTACTCTCTTTGTGTCAACTTCTGAGTTTCACTTTGCACGAGGAACTGAGCCACTGACAAGGGTGCTTGGCTGGATTAATTAGCCAGATTCATTAACTGATGGATGCACAGTATTAACCACAGCTTTAATCTGACATTTGTCTGAGTGCTGCTCATGTGTGTGTGTGTGTGTGTGTGTGTGTGTGTGTGTGTGTGTGTGTGTGAAGACGGTAACACACACAGGTTCAGCTCCAGCATTGCTACTGGAAGGGTTACAATCGGAGAATTCTTCTCCAAAAGATCCCCTTTTCCTCCAAGGTCCAGACACAGTCAATGCGTTCACATGCACCAAACAAACATGAAAACTAAACTATTGCTCTAAAAAGATTGATGTTTGTTTTTGTTTTTTTTTATTCATGTTGGCGTGTTAGTCTTGTACTGGTTCTAATTGTGCTAAAGCACCCAGATAATGCGTCAGAAAACCGACTGCATCTGCATGTAAACGACTCGGTCGAGCTGATACCGGTAACTTCCGGAAGTGACGAGACCACAGAAGAAGTCTTCTGATAATATCATCGCCACAAAGTAACACGTGTGACCCCATCAAACAGCAGAGAATGTACCAAATTACCTGTTGCGTTGTTGACCCTTCCTGGATGTTACATCATTTTGCATGCTTTAACCATCTGTGTTTGTTTACTATTTGTGTTGCTATAAGCTAACTGGAAGAATGTCAACATTAAAGGGCGCATGTCGTCACCTGCTGTACCAGAAGCGTTATTTGGAATCGTAGTATGTCGAAGGAAGATCCCGCCTTTCTTGCCTCTGATTGGCTAAAAGGTCTCTCCTAAGATTGGCTATTTCATTTAGCAGCAAACCATCTTCTTTTGCTAAGTGCAGACTGTCCTACCGCCAACAGAACAGCTGTTTTGGAGAGTTTTGTAAAGAAATTCTCAATTTAGCGCTATAATAACCATTCTGCCCTGTTTTGCAAAATAGATTTTTTCCTGTTTCTTTTATTTTTTTAAAACCTGAAACATGTAAAATTTGAACTTAAAATGAATCTTGTTGCATTTGTCACACTGTTGGAATTACTTTATTTATATGTATTGACTTTCAAGCATTGAGGTTATTTTATTAAATAGATACATAGTACATAGGATAAACATATGTGTCTTACCTGTCTATGAATTTTAATGAAAATGGCCTATTTAGTCTAGCTGTGTGCAGCAGGTCTCTCTTCTAGAATAATAAAAAGATCTAACAATACTAAGACTGTAAACTCCCCGTTGTCTATAGTAATAAGATAACCTTAATGCGTAAGAGCCAATGGATATAAAGTCAATCCGTTAGAGTGATAAATGCAGCAAGTTTTATTATAAGTTTGCATTTGACGTTTTTCAGGTTCTTTTATGAAAGAAACTGAAACAGGTTTGTTGCAAAACAGGACTGAATGGTTATTATAGCCCTAAGCCCACATTTTCTGCTGGAAACTCCTCAAGACATAAGGCTGCAGATAAAAATCCTGCAGCGAGCGAAGGCGGTTTGCTGCTAAATCATAGTAGAGCCCTTCTAGCCAATCAGAGGCGAGAAAAGTGTGGTCTTCCTTGGACATCCTACGATTCCAAATGACGCACACCAGAGTGTAACGAACTTCGTTTGAGAGGTCGGTTTTCTAGCGTGCATGTAAACTAGAATAAAGGCTCCCAGTTTATTACTTTAGATCGACCTCGATTGACTTAGACGTGCATATAAACACTAGCTGTTTTTACAGGACCATAGCGTTTGCAAAACGGGATTTGCCGCGGCTCCCTGGGGATGATTTTGGCAGTTATAGTAGCAAAGCTGAAGCTAGAATAAACTGCCATCAGGCACCTCTCAAACCAAGACAGGATAAAGAGAGGTCGCTGGGCTAGAGCCCTGCACTGAAGCCCTAGGCCCTCGGGCCGGGCTTCGGGCCAACGACTGTGTAATTACCTCGGACACGGGCCGGGCGCCTTTATTTTTAATCAAATTCATAAATAAAATTGAAACACTTAAACCAGGGGTCGGCAACCTGTTCCCATCAAAGAGACATTATTACCTGTTTCCCACAGTAAAGAAAACACTGGGAGCCACAGCAGCCACGGCGTTGTGGGCGGGGCCTACCCTCAGACAGCAGAGAGCTGCTCACATCAGGTGACAGCAGCCGGTACCGGTCGCTCGTGTACGTCAAAGTTATCTTTTATAAGAAGATAATCAATAAAACGATTTATATAAAGTGGATCCAGAAGTTGTAGCCCGTCTCTGCCTACAATATTTTGATATTTTTCACCCTGTTGGTGGTTTTACTGAGCAGGTGCAACTTTTGTCATACGTTTCTTTTTAAAACATGTTTAGACTTTTCAGAATACAAATCCATGCTCTGTCACGTTTGATTGTTGTAATTAAACTTTGTAGGTGGGGAAGGTCAGAAAAGGATCCGATCATTTTGTTTTTCCCTCATTTACAGTGATGGAGATAACGGCGCAGTGCGCCTGGCTCTGGTGTTAATCAAGTTTAATTTTATCTATTT